TATATATATATATATATATATATATATATATATATATATATATATTCATGAATTTATGTTTCTGTCCTTACATCCACTAGAGGGCTTCCTTCATCCACACCTTGCAACAATCAATACCTAAGGTAAGGATTTTAAAACAGAGTTCTAATGTAAATCTTTCTCATTATACAACCATGTTTTTCATGTTTTTACCCTTGTGTGCTTTTCCTATGTTAGAAAAAGACATGAAGTTGCATCAATAGTACCAAAGGCTGAAAGGTGTATAGAATAACAAAACAATTTTTATCCTTTGAACAAAAATAATAAGTCGCTGTATTTTCTGTTAGAAGATTTGATAAGGGATCCGTGGCTGGCTGTTTAGTTTTCAGTATGACAGCATTAGATTTTAAAAGCAATCCTAAAACCAATTGGTCACCAATGAAACAAATGTAAAGTAAAGGTCATGTGAGCTTCTTGCCAAAACGTCAGTAGTCTAGCTACGGCATTTTGTATTCTATAGAAGTCTAAAAGACACTATTCGTACAATCAGTTAAAAGGGGCATTATATTTATCTAATACATGACAAAAATGCTTGGACAATTTTTCCAGTTCAGCTGAAAAGATCACGTGCCACATTTCAAAAACATTTCTTAAATGAGAAAAACAAGAATTAGATAGAGGCTTTATCCAAATTCATTAAATATAGGCCCTAGTTTTGGTTCCTAGTTCTAGCTGCTTCACCTTTCATTGGGTCAACAGTAAGAACTCCATTATGGGTTGGAAAGCAGCCTTGGCACTGCCATGCTAATTCTGGACAGCCTTTCAGATGTCATTACCAGACAGAATCTCAGGTTTTGCTAGCTAAACACAAAAACTGCACTTCACACAAATGTATTTAGTGTCTGAATCCTTGCATTAAACAAGGCCAAACATAATTGCATGTGTCATACATGGTACAAGTGGAGAAACAATGTTTTTTTGTTCATTTCCATACAAGTGATCTGTTCTTAGAGAGCTTTGCATCACACTGACACAGGGGGGACTATGAACCCTTCAGAGTGTTGGGTAGATGCATAGAACAGATCAATACGTGGATGTACCTTGGGTTTCTCCAACTAAATAAAAACAAAACCAGGGTAATAATCGTTGAACCAAAGGAATAGATCCAGAGTTAGCTCATAGCTTCAGCTACCACAGCTAGAACTCAGTGATTATGGTTAAAAGTCTTGGTGTCATGATGGACTCAGAACTGAACCCTCTAAAGGCAGCTGCCAAGTCAGTTTTCCCCTGAAGAATATTCCAGCATTAAAGGACTAATGTCCAAAGAGAATCTAGAAAAACTAGAATAATTAATGCACGGTTGCCACATGTGTTCTCGTTAGAACTAACAAAGTAGAACACATCAGCCTGTGTCTGCAGTCCTTACACTGACTCCCTGTCGCTTGGAAAATCCTTCTGTTAGCAACATGGACCAGCACCTCAATACCTAACAGATTTGTTGTCAGTGTATCAACCTCCCAGACCACTCAGGTCCTCTAGTTCAAGCATACTCTTTACACCCGGAACTAGAACCAAACACGGAGAAGCAGCATTTAGTTCCTATGGTCTTCCTATGGACTTACCTGGAAAAATTTCCAGAAGAGTTTAGAAGTCCTGAAAAACTGGGTTCTTTTAAGTCAAAGTTAAAAATCTAATTATTCAGAGCTACATTTGACTACTGAGGGTAAGCTTTTAACTGAGATATTAGTTTAAGTTCGCATTTGAATTGTTTTATTTTCTGTATTACCTGTGCTGCTTTTATAATGTTTTATCCTTACTTGTTTTTATTCTGCTTTAACTTTCCTTCTATTCTACAGTTACATTAATGTAAAGCACGTTAAATTGTCTTTGTACTGAATTATGCTATAAAAATAAACTTGCCTTGGTGGGTACATGTTGGGACCTGGAGGTCTGTCCACTTTCTCCACCAGAGGGCGTACGAGATCTCCTGGAGCCAGAGCTGATTGCACCACCTGTCGCTCATCTGCTCATCAGGAGATCCGTATTTAAGGAGGCAGAGGACTTCTCTCTAGTGCCAGAGTGTTTGCCAGTAACGGTTAGCAAGCCTGAGCCAACCAGCCTGTTTGAACCTCTGACTCCCTGAAAACCTGAACCTGAACCCGATCTGTTTTTCTCCTCTCTGCCTCCTAGATTTGAACCTGCCTGAAACCTGAAACCCTGAAGAGTTTCTCTGCCGGTGACCTGCTTGTCCGTTCTCAGAAGAACTCTGGAGAATTATTTCTAAGATCTGCCTGCCCGCTCTCAGAAGACACTGGAAGGAAACTCAAATCTGTGATCTGCCAGCAGTCAAATTAAGCTCTGCCTCCACCTAGCCCTCAGCCTGCCGACAACCTCTGGACCCTCAAGGTTCCCCCCCTCTGCCGCTCTGCTCAACTCCAGAACGGGTACAGCCCTGCACACTCTCATCCTGCAAAATACCTGGATCTCCACTAACTCCTCTGTCCCCCTCTGCAGTGAACCCACTTGTGACCAGTCCTGGATCTGATTTTTCTGTGTGCTTTTCAGAACCCACTCGTGACCAAACGTGTTCCCCTGTGTACCTGTTCATTTATTGTGTTCAAACTTATCAATAAATCTTTGAAATTTTCTCCTGCCTCTGAGTGTTCTGCATGTGGGTTAGACACCTTAAACCAAACATGACAGTACAAATTATTGTGGGACTCCTTAGTGCCAGAAAAAAAGCTGTGGGGAATCTTTTCTTCCCTCCTTCCTTAGTGGGGGCTTAATCATAGGACGAATATCACAATGGATGCTGATGCACATTTTCTAAAGCTAAAACTCCTTACCAATTTGATTGTTTCATATTTAGCTAGAGATTTTACACGTCATTCAAAGCCCAGAGAAGAGTTGAAAATAACAGAGATTTAGAAGTTAGATAGAATTAAACAATAGCCTTATTGATTTCTGTATGTAGTTCGGAAAGAGCTATAGTCATGGTCTCAGTCTTTTTGATCTTTTGAAAAAAGACAATTGCTGTAAAGCCAATTACCAATTGTAGAAGAGAGATAGCTAAGAACTCCAAAATATTCCATACAATTTTATAGTCAGTTGTTTTAAAAGCAGCACTTAGATCAAGCAAACATAATTAGGGAACAATTCTCTGCATTAAAAAGCCCCTCAAATATCATTATTAACCCCTAACTGCGAAGTTTCAGTGAGGTGCAAATTCTAAAGCCAGATTGAATGGACTAAACGATCTGTAACGTACATAGTAGAGATTGGAAATGACTTTCCACAGTCATCAAATTGGTCTGTAATTAAAAATGGAACTAACACTATAGCTGGGGTTCTTCGGTAAAGTTGAAACTGACTGGTCTCTCTTCTCAGATGCTAACAAATTCCTAAACTGTATCTCTGTCGTACTGTGTCGTATGGGAGCTTAATGACACAGGTCGGAAGAACTTAGCTCAGGTGGTGAGAACAGCACAGCGAACTGTGGGATGACTTCTACCAGTTTGGATTAGATTTAATCTGCCACAGATTCCACCCAAAGGAAAATCCTTGTTTATACCACATCCATCAGGAAAACTATACAGGGAAACCAAATAAAAAACATATAGACATAAAATCTTTCCTAAAGCTGTGAGGTTAACGAACCCCCCTGTAGTCAGGCACTAACTTCCAATTTTATCTGTACAATAACAGACACACACATTCAAACACTTCTCCACAGACACATACAAATAAGATCAAATCCAAAACAACACCACCAAATAGTTCATACACTGCTCCAGCACAAGCTGCACTTGATGTAAATATGACACGCTATTTAGTAATTCATTTCTGTGTATTTATTATTTCTTTCAGGATGCCTCAATGTTTCTCCTTCTTCTTAGTAGGGCTGCAACTAACGATTATTTTGCTAATTGATTTATCAGGGCATTATTTTTCTTTGTAAATTGATTAATAACTGGATCGCAAAAGATCTTTAAAGATATATCACATATAATTTAAACCTGTTGAAGCTACAACTTGAGTAAAAAAAGGATTTTCAACTTTTAGAGTCTCTATACTCCAGTTAACGATTAATCAATTACTAAATTAGTTGACAATAATTTCAATTAATCAAGATTTAATCATGATTTTATTTGACAGGCTATAATGGCTAAATATTGTAAAATGCATCTTACAAA